GGAAAACAAAGCAAGAGTGAAGGACTTATTGTGTGGAGAAATTATTTAAAAAAACCCAAGACATTAATTGTTACCGTATTCTGATTTAAAAGTAACAGACATAAACACTGAGGCACACAGGTCAAACTTTTTCTATTCTTATTTTAACTTAATTGTTTACTTTATAAAATATAGCTGCATTTCAAGATTACTTTTTCCATTCTTCAGCAATACTTTCCTCCTCCAAGGATAAATCAAATCCCTTAACGCAATTTATTAAAAATGTGTTCGTGTGGAGCAAATATACTAAACAAATTATGTTTTTTATTTCTTCGAAATAAAAAATCAACCCTTCCTTCCAATGCTTTTCAGTTTCATCTAACATCTAACATAGATATCCGCAACCTATAATATTTAATTATCTTGATACATTTTCTTTTATTTTTATTATATTGTAAAATCATTTTTCTTTCTTTACAAACATTAGAGAATCTAAAAATAAAATCTTTTAGCTCTTTCTTCAGCCAGCAGAGGTCAGCAGAGACCATGAAGTGTTCATCACAGACTGCTGACTCACTCCTGCTACTACACACTTCCCTGAACATTAAAAGCTGCAGTCTGTAACATTGAGGAGAGAGCAGACTTCGACTGAAAATTTGAAGAAAAACAGGTCCAAGCTCCACCCTCTCACAGCATCTGCGCGGCTACCGCATGCGACCAGAAGGGGGGGGGGGGGGAGGGGGGGGGGGGGGGGGGATTCAGCGTGTGTGAGCTGTGATTGACACTCCATCAGACGCTCCTCTGGCTGTGATTGGTTGTTTTGACTCGTCCCGAATTATTCTTTCCAGAGTAAAATACAGGCAGTAGGCGATACCAATTGAAGCAGTTTTTTTCACAGGTTACATATCACATGTACTGCTGTCTGGGCATAGGGACAGGTTTAGCCAATATGACAAAAAAGTGATTTTTAAAAACTTACAGACTTCAGCTTTAAAGATGCTAAATTGAACTTGAGTTCAATAGTTATCCATCAATAACTCAGCACTGATCTTATCGATAACCTTTGATCTGCATTTACATATAAACAAACAAAAATTTGTAAACACAAGATGAATATATATCATGACTAATTCTTGAGGCGATTTAATAAACCTCAGTTTGAATTTGATATACAATCATCCAGCTGCAGAAAATACACAGGAAACCTTCTTATATATATATGCATGGAATCATGTCCTCATCTATAGGTGGAAAGGCTTTTCTTTAACAGCATCAAAAATTTTGTCATTTGATAAAAAGATGACTGGAGGCAAGTTTAGGACAATCCTGGATGGAAACTTGCTGTAGGTTGCAATAAACATTAAAGGTTCACCTTCTAGCACACATACTGCCAGAGATAACAACAAATAACTTAGATCCAAGCTAATTCATGTGTTGGAGCAGCCTTGTCAGAGTTTAGACCTAAATCAATTCGGAAACTAATAAGACTTCAGAACAGATATTTACAGATGCTTTCCCCCAATTCGGAGCTTGATTGTTTTGTAAAAAGAAACAACTATGTCTGTTGTCTAGATGTGCAAAGATGTAAAGATAAACCCCCAAATACCTTTGGCTGTGTTTACTCAAAATGGGGATACAAAATATTGACTTGGGTGTGCAAACAAAACTCTGAGCTACATATTTTGCACTATTGCTTTTGCACTTTGTGCCAAACAGTCCCATGGATATCATTTGTATTTGATTTATTCTACATGCTGACCATGACTATGGAAATGATTTGATTGACAAGAGTAGGCAGGAAACAAGGTGTTGCAGTTAATAACCTCAATTAGACCCACAAGTGACCCTTATGTCTTGTGATGCATGTGTTATTAATGCATCTACAAGACATCTTCTGCACATGCTGGTCCTTTCTCCACCTAAACTGAATGTCTGATGCTCCAGTTATTGCCTATGATGCTGTTCCTCTATGGTAAGATAAATTGATTTCAGCTGTACTGTCTGATATTTAGCATCTAACTGCTCTAAGTTAGGATCCAAATGTAACCAAATTATTTTGTTGTAGGAAAACTAGACAAATATTCATATTAAAACTGCTCTTACATTTAGATCATATTTCATTTGGTAATTTAGTTGTAGTCGAAACATCACATTTATAAAATCATAGATCACCTGGGCAGAACTATGGAAGTATGAACCAGCAAGACTTAAGTTCCTGATCCAGTCAGTGTATGATGTCCTTCCAAGTCCATCTAACCTTTATACCTGGGGCCTTGCAGAAGCACCAACATGCCCAGGGTGCCCGGCTCATGGTTCCCTGGAGCACATCCTGAGCTGCTGCCCTAAAGCGCTGGGAGAGGGAAGGTACACGTGGTGCCATAACCAGGTGTTGAAGGCAGTAGCAGACACCATCTGCACTGGAATTCAGGAGTCAAAGGACCAGTCTCCTTTGAGGCTCAATATCTTCTTTATCAGGGCAGGGGAGAAACCTGAAAGAGCAGGTAAGGGCGCAACTGGACTGCTAGCCATGGCTCGGGATTAGCAGTTGCATGTGGACCTCGGAAGGCAGTTAAAGTTCCCAGAGCACATTGCAAGGACGTCACTTAGGCCAGATCTGGTCTTAACATCTGACTCGAAAAAAGCAAGTTTTGTTACTGGAGCTTAAAGTCCCCTTGGAAGACAGGATGGAGGAGGCTCACGAAAGGAAGAGGGTGAAATATCTTGAGCAGATTGAGGCATGCAGATGCCATGGACGGAGGGCCCACTGTGAGCCAACAGAAGTGGGCTGCAGAAGCTTCCTTGGTCAGACTTTGCATCGGGCATTTAGTCTCCTTGGCATCTGAAGGTTGCTTGAGAGAAGAGCCAACAGGAACATCATGAGGCCGCTGAAAGAGCCTCAAGGTGGCTGTGGATCAAGAGGGGGGACGCATGGAGCAGCACGCTGCTTGAACACAAACTGGGGCCTGATCAACCCCAGTTGGATCGCCCAGACGAGGGTGTCTGAAGATCAAAGACCCGAAACACCCTATGACCCTGGGTCCTTCACTGATGATGTGTTCAAGCTGCACCAGCTAGGTGTTTCAAAATCTATCTGTTCATCACTTTTTATCAAACAGGATATTCAGTGAGACCTGTATAAATAAGGTTTGAATAAAAAGATGACTAAATGTGGATTGTATTTATTCTAATTTAACACAAATGGCAATAACAACCAATGTAGTATCGCTGTTGGCTAGTCTTATTCTTATTCAACAAGAAGGAGATCAGTGGTCTTCATTCATGCAGTATTTATTATTCCTATTGCAAGGGGGAACAGATACAGTCCATGCCGATGTTTTGTCCGTTCTGGTTAAACAAAGGGCTTGCCAAACTACTTTTAGCTCGTGAAGATTTGGAGGGTTTGAATGGGTAATGAATAACCTTAAACCTGAGGAACCATCACTCTCTTCTAAACATCTTCCAGCATCTGCAAAACAGGTTCTCAGGCTTCAGAAAGATAATCATGCCAACCCATTTGTCAAACATTGCAGGGGTAAGTCTGCTTGAGCAAATACTTTCTATGCAAGAGAAAAAAACAACAACAAATAAGGTCACTTGATTATGGTTTGGAAAAACAGATAAAAAGATGAGTTTTTTCCCCACCATATCTATAGAAACTTTGATCAAATAGAAACTTGGACAGGGACTGAGGTGCGGACAGGTACATAGATGCAGTATGCAGGATCTAACCTAGTGGTTTGAGCATTGCATTGGGTCCTGGAGGTTCTGAGTTCAAGTGCCACACACTCCAGGTTCCTGATCCCGGACTGCCACTCTGGCGACTGATCAAGGGAGGTGCAAACTGGCAGGCCATGGATCCCCAAGGGGATGGGTTAAATGCAGAGAGTGAATTTCCCCATTGTGGGACAATAAAGGAACATATTATTCTCACATTATTGTGAGAATTTGATTAAATTGATAAGACACAAGGAAGAACCAGTAGTCAGAACAACAATCAACAAAAACAAACATGGAGTAATTTAAATATGAGTGGGAAGTTACAGGCTATATGGAAAAAAAGGATCAAAGGAGAGTGCAATCGCAAAGAAAAACCCAAACCCCAATATCTAAGGATCATAAGAACAATTTTATTTGGCACTCTTTACTTAAATTAAGATTCAATATATATTATTGAAATAGAAATTAATATACATGCCAACAGCCTTAATATACATGACAAGCTGATAAAGTTAATAAATCAGTTGTCTTCAGTTAAATGCAATACAAATAAGGTGCATATACTGCTGTAAAGATGTGTTTACTCCCCTGGAGATTTGCTCTGGGTTTTAAGATAATAAGATAATAGTAGCAGTAACTGCAAAAAGAAGGATTCTTTTGCTCAGGAATAAGGATCTAAAACATAATATCTGCACCTTGGTTGAATTTATGGGTGTTTTTTTTATCCTTTTATGTATCTTTTTTTCTGTACACTGGATGAAAAGATGTAATTGTACCAGTTATTGGCTCCTTTTATACTGGATGTTTGTGTCTCACTAGAGTCACATGAGTATAGTTCTCGTCATAATAATGGATAGCTTACAGCTTTTGTGCTGCAGATGATCTATTTAAAGCCTACAATAAGGGGTTTTCCTGTTTGTCAGTGTGGATCTCTGCACAGAAGCAGTTCTGTTTGCTTCATGAGGAGAACAAAGGGTTGCCAGTCCAGTAATGAAAACACATTGCCTGGCACTCATAGTGACCCAGATATAAATAGAACGATTGTAATCCATAAACTGTTTTTATTTCCAGCTCTGTTTTTGTTTGATTCTGGGGTTGAAAATAAAAAACATGAAGTCTTTATTTTCGACTCGTTTTCAAGTATTGCAAAGGTACCATGGAAGTAAATCATCTCCTCTTGCTGTGTCAGATTATATATGACCAACAGTATTCCTCACGTCCCTCCAATGAAATGCCATGACATCAAATAGCCACATCACCTGCTATCCAATCGAAAATCTAACATCCTTCAGGAGCCACGCCCATCACCCATGCTGCATCGTCATGCTGCTCACTCCGGATGCAGTTGTCATGGAGATTGGGGAGAACTCAGCGTCCACTGGTGGCACTGTTACCATGGAAATCCTCCCGGCTGGAGCAGTCTTGGAGGAGCAGGTTGAACCGGAGGACTGGCAACACAGTGGTAGAGAAGCATTCCGGCACAGAAACTATCGGATGCTGATTGTGATTGGAGAGATTCCAACAGATTATCACCTGGAAGCTGCTCGGAGACAGATTGTACAAGGTGAGCTTGAGGGTTGATGCTCTCGACCAGTCTAGCTTTATAAAAAGTAAATCTATTGAAAACAGTTTTATTCTACTGTAAGTGATATCAGTCTCTTGATCCTGCCTCAAGTTGTCATTAAAGTTCAGAAAAAAAATTAGAGATATCCTTTATTTTCCCTTATTTGGGATATTCAGGTGTAACTGTAGCAAAGTGACAAGAAATTTGAAGGAAGCAGAAAAAAAACAAAGATTAAAATATAAAAACTTACTTCTAAGGAGAAAGAGTGAGCTGATTCTGCACACATTAAAGCAACAGTCTGCAGTAATCTGGGATAAATAAAAGCATAAGTTGTAATTGTGTTGAGACTTTCTCTATTATGAAATGTTGTGGCTGTTGATCTTAAAGTGAATATTTTATCAGGTAACAGGCACAAACCTGAATGCATTTGACAAAAACCCGAAAAGTTTTGTATCCTGCCCACTTTAACTCAATACTGCAAAATCATCAGCCTCAGTCGGACTGGATAAAGAGCATCTCTGGACATAAATCGTCATATCATATCAAAGTCTAATACATAAAATTGGCCACTAGACTTTGACTAAACAGTTATAAAACTAATACAGTAAGCTTTAATCTAAGCCAGTGTCTCCCAATTTTTTTCTGCTTCCAACCCAAAAACAGCTGCAGACGAAAAGACATGTGATCCTGGCATAAAAATGCACATTAGAGTAGTTTTTTTGCCCCTTGAAGGTCCAAGGTTTTGAATACCAGCCTGGGCTCTTCCCTCCACATGCTTACTGTGTCACTTCTAGAGGTAATTCTTATTTTTATTCTCTGCTCCTCTATAAAAGCCAGATTTGTGAGATGTGCTGTAGCACACCAAAATTGCCATGTGCCTTTTGGTGGTTCTAAGAACTCATGAAAAGCTCTGCATGATGCAGTCCTGGAGTTAATCTGCATCTTTGTTTCATGACCAGGCTTTAAAACGTATTATTTATTTATTTTTTTCAGTTTTAGGTCAGGAAAATTAAAGAATGTCACAGTTAGTAAATTTCAGCGGCACATTTTACGAGGAGAGAAGAGGAGATTTTTTTTTTAGAATGTTAGAGCCTAATCAAATATTTGACCTGTCCTCAGGACAAATCTCAGAACATAGTTTTTGTGTTAAACAGATAAAGAATCTTACTCCAGAGAAAAATATCTAAACTAAGTACAGATAATAAGGTTTTCCATCTCATGGGAAGCAAAAAAAGAATCCTGTTTCTCGATCGTTTTTTAATGATTTCTTTTCTTAATATCAGGTTTGCTTTCCTGGAATGTTGATCTGTCCGTTTGTGACCTGAATAAGGAGCTGCAGCTTTTTAAGACCAGACACACCGCTCAGTTTTCTCCTCAAGTCAAAGGTCAGACTCAGTTCATCGATTTTTTTTTTTTTTTTTTTTACAGAAGCCTGTATGTCAGCAGTATTTTTATGGTGTGCAAAGCTGTGCATGTTGACTGTTACTGTGGATCAATGTAGACCAGAATCTGCAACTCCAGAGTAAAAAAAAAAATGCCTGTTTGGTTCTTTTAGAATGGCAAAAAAAACAACAACAAAAAACATTTGCTGTTGTGAAATATATACATGATAACATATGCAAGTTATAGGATTTTTTCTTTGGGGAACAATTTCATTGAATCCTCGTGACAAAATTACACTAAAATACTATGAATTTTTTACGGGGCAAGTTTTTCTGGTTTTTTATATATTTATCAGAGTCAAGACCCTTAACCCCCATACTGCTCACACAATGGCAGCCCACTGCTCCCCAAGGGGAAGGGTTAAATGCAGAGGTACATTTCCACAATGTGAGATCAATAATGTTCAATTACTTTATATTAATTATCATTAGATTCTCAGCCTAGATGGACAGAAAATAGCCGAAGCTTTGCTTGAAACACACTTTTGTTGCTTTGCATCTCCTGCCCTGTTCACATGCTCCGAAGGAAATCAGGATACATTTCAGCTGGTATTGATCCAGCTCTCATGTGCAGACGTTCTCTCTGAGGGAGAGCCAATGAGAGCAGAAGGTAAAACTGATTATCGACTGGATGGAGCAGTAAGATCACGACCTAACTGTTTTTATCTGGCAATATGGCTGCTCATCATTTAGTAACTCTACTCTTATGTCAGTAACATACCAAAATATACAAAACTCTCAACCCTCTTTTTTGTCTTTATAGTTTATTATACTTTGTTTTGGTCTTTGAAGCTCTTTCATAGTTTGTCTTTCAAAATTCTTTTGCCTTTTACCTAATTTATGATTTAGTTTGTGATCTTTTTCAGACCTCAAACAATACACTAACCTTTTCAGCTTCATGACAGAGTATCTGTGAGACTATGTGGAGCATTTAGCCAGGCTAAGGTAAATAAATAACTAATAATAATGTAAATAAAATAAAACAGGCAATAATAAAATTAAAAGATAATTAAAAAAAGGATAATAATAAGAATAAGTTTGGAAATATTATAACCAGTTGTAGATTAAGATAAAAACATGCTTTTGTAGTTGCTTTAAAATTGCTGTGTTTACTAAATATGCCCATTAGATTGTATAAATAATGTAATAGCTTTATTATTAAGTGCCTTGAAAATTTGGGATTTTTTGATAGAATTTATTTCCATATAATAAACAATATTTAAAAGGGGGGGGGGGGGAATTCTAGCGTAAGTGTGTCTTTTAATTAATGCTCCTCATTAGAATAAATACACAAAGAAACCTAATTGTTTCTTTGTAGACAATTAGAAATACAAACATGAATATCACATTGGAGAAATTAAACAAATAAATATATATTTTTTAAAAAGTAATAAAGCTAGAAAATGAAATGTAACTTAGTTTAAAATGAAAAGATCGACTTCAGCAACCACCCCCTTTTAAAATCAAAATAGCTTTAGTTTAAATCTGATCGTCACGCAAGCTCTGCCCTTTATGAATAATTCAACTTTTCAAACCAATCATTCCCCTGTGATTAAAACAATAATGATTATCAGCTGTGGCAGCAGAGCCACGTTTTTCTCTTGTTAGCTCTATAATGGCTCCATCAGCGTTTGGGCATCTGAAATAGTCATTTTCCTTTTCCTCTCTTCTCTTTCTGCTGCTTCTTTTCCTGTCAGATTTGATGCTTTTCATCAGAGCACAGACAGCACCTCGCAGAGCAGATTAGAGATATAAACTGATGAGAGGTCTGCTCTGGAATGAAGCCATTTCTCCTTTTGGTTTAATGTCTTTGTCCTGCTTTGGGTGGTTTTACATTGAAAGTATAAGAAAATATTTGCCTTTGCTCATTTCAGGAAGTTGAACTCACGTAGTATATAGCATCAGGACACATAATATATTTCATTCGTATTTCTTGTCATTTTTATAATCACTGTTTAGTGCACATTTTGAGAGATGTTTGAGAGATAGAACTGTGTTGGCAGTGACTCATAAGGAATTTTCTATTTACAGAATATAACCTGTATACTTTTATTATTGATGTCATGTGTTACTTTGGGTGTTTTTTAGTATACTATTGCGTTGTGTATAATGTATAATGGAGGTTGTTCGCAATTTTTTTAAAAGCTCTCTCCATTAAAAAAATAAAAATAAAAAATGCACAACCCTCTAGCCGATCCTGGGAGGGAAAGACTATTAAACGTGTGCGAGAGCATGCAGAAGCCCATCTCTCCTTGTGCACGCTCTGTTTAAAAGTTGCTGTTTGCATCGCTCATACAAGCTTACTTTCCAAAAGGAGATTTGCAATTTTTCCACTATGTCAGACACTAATAGGGACTAGCATGTGGGAAGGCCTTACGTAAACATATCACCAGACTGATTGACACTAGGAGGACCACTTATTTTGATGATCCACCCACAAAAAGAACATCCCTCGCTATACGTTTAAGATTAAGCACAGATGCATTTTCATTTGTTTTTTGTTTTTGTCTGTCTTACTTTATTTGTGTATGATCTTCTTCCCACCATACTATAAAGCCCTCCAAAAGTCAGTTTTTTTTATTAGCACCTTGAAAATGTTCTTTTCTATTGTAGATTTTCTGCAGTTTTAAAGAACATTGTTTCTATTATAATCAGATTAGATACAGCTTTCAGACAGATGTCTTTATATTCGTCTAGAGCACTCTGGTGTACAGAGTATTCATTATTCTCTTTCACAAAAATTCACATCATGTCACCACCTATGATCTCCCTCCGGCCAATCCTTAATCTGATGGAAAAGGCAACGTCCAGCCTGGTTCTGCAAAATAGTGCCAGTAGTGTAGGATGACTGGAAGGGACTGACTGTCACTGAGCAAACACATCTGATTTGATTTCTGTCTCAGGTCTTCTTACTCATTTAGTCAGAAATGATATGGAGTCTTGTTTACCGTTTTAAATTCTGTGGCTAAATTGAAATCCTTTAGAAGATGAAAATATGTCTTTCAGCATTTACAGGCTGTGCATTGCTGGAAGGAGACCATTTTCTGATTTCTTCTGCTTAGCCTTGCTCTTATTTCTATCAGTTGTTTGAGGTGAAGTAACTAAAGAAAAGTGTTGATAAGTTTTTGACATATGTATACTCTGGATGTCAGAAAAGATGAGCTAAGATAACACATCTAATAGTGGTGCATGCCAGCTGTAGAAGGTCACGTTGGAGAACCAATCATATCCTGGCAGGAAAAACTATCAGGCTGTGCTTTTAAACTGAAGGTCAATCTTTCAGAGCTGCTCTGATGTGGCTCCACTTACTTTCACTGATGCTCAGAGAGAGGTTCAAAAACTCCCCCATCATTTGTATTTACTTTTCAAGAACCGGTCTCCCATCAGCCACCACAGACGGGTTTCACTGCCCGTCACACTCCGGCTCCTCGTTGCCTCTGCCTTGAATACTAATGCAGTGGCTGGTGGGTGTGTGCTCAGCCATCATGCCTGGCATAGCCAGACACAAAGAACACAAAGGAAATCTATTCCTTCCAAAAAGGAGTTATTTAACTTAAACAGCGCAGGGTCTGTCATTTGTTGGTTGTTTTAAAAAAAATTTTTACACATATGTTGGCTGATGAGTTTTGCTAATTTCTCACTAATTTTATCAATTTATTGAATACAGAAAAACATGCCCTTAATGGTGCAAGAAAGTGCATGGAAACTGCACTACAATTTTGACTGTCCAACATTACTGTTTATCCATTCATTTATTAATATATTTATTATTTTGTTAATTCATCATTTAAATAAAAAACTAACAAATAGGTGATAGGTTAATACTTTCATTTACATTCATAAAATTACAAATTTACACATTTAAGCAAATTAATATCATAACTTTAATATGCTAATATTTGCTTAAAAACTCAGAATTGTATTTTATGAAATTACATAGAATTATATATCTGAACTATATTTACATAATTCATTTATTGTTTACATTTTTTATCTATGCTCTGACTGTAGTTACAGTAATATTAATCAAAAGTTGTAAAGAATACAAAAGTGCCCTTTTAAAGAAGTATTATGAGAGCCAATAATTTTATAAGTGTAATATTTTCCTTGTTAGTCAATAGGAGAATCTGTTGCTGAAATAAAAGCTGAATTTATTCTAAGGCTTTTCACTCATCTAATGTTTCATGAGAAGGTGCCAATTTATGAGGAGTGCACTGCAGTTACGGTGTTAAAACATTACACCTCTAAATATATTCTAATCAGACAAAAACCCAGCAGACAATCAAACAATGAAACTGTGAGAGAAATGCTGCAGAAGGATGAACAATGTGTTAAATTATCAACCCAAATTGTGATGAATTATTGTCAGATGAAAACTGTTAGATTAAAATAAAAAATTCAAAGAGAAGAATTTGAACTATTCCCTAAGCAAATGGGTTTTATTCTGTCCATTAAACTCTTTTGTGTGTCTTTTTGTTTAAAGAGAAAGAGAAAGGCAGCTTTTATCGGTTCAAGTTAATCACATTTTTGTCTAAGGCTTTTGGGTGTTTCATGAATTTAGATACAACTTGCATTTACAAATGAGAAGAAATTATTATCTATTTAATGACGATTAGAAAAAAGACAGGTAATCTAACAAGTACTCTGATCTTTGTTTTTCTTTTGAGATAGGAAATGTAAGAAAAAAATAGATTGGGTCCATGTTATTCTGTCCTGAATGTACAAAATTTTCTGATCCACAGCAACTTGATTTAACATTATGGGCCCATATCACGCTTGTGATGAATGGGATGAAAAAGTTCAGTCATTTAGCAGCGAAATACGTAAAACATGCGGGGAACTTAAACCGACAAACCTCAATTTAAACATTTGACCAAGACACAAAATTAGATTTTTAAAGTATAACACTGTTGCTAGGTTATTGTGTTGGTTAATCTGTAGAA